TCGGAACGGTGCCCATCCGTCACTGATGGTTCTGCTGGCGTGCCTCTGTTGCATGTTTTTCTTCTTTCCTTATGTATTACGGCGCAGTAGCTGAGGTGTTCTCCACCTCTGGCGGACTTGTATAATGATGATGTTATGTATCGATCCATAAGGTAAGGCGATTGTTAAACATCGATTTGTCGGTCGTTGTCGTTTCTTCTTTTTAACTTCTCGTTTTGCCTACAGCCATCACTCGTGCTTGTTTTCACCATGTTCTCAGCTCATCACAATGAGGCTGGACCCCATCGCAATTAGGTTGGACCTTACCGTGGTGCGATGGTTTGTGTGCCTCAGTGATCCATTGAGCTATACTGAGTGGTGCATTTTTGCACCTTCAGAGCCACTCATACCAAATTGGTCAATGGTAAGAGGCCAGACAAACTCAGCCTCCTGGTCCTCCAGGTTGGGGGTTGGAATGAGGGTGGCTTGTAGCGACCTAGAGATTCCCCCGTATGACTGTGTAAACTATTCTAAAATACATTCAAATTATAGCTTTCTTATGTATTAGGGAACTAGGCGGTTTGCCTGTTGGAACGTTGTTCCCGTTTGTTGAAAACACGAACGCCATCTCCGCCTTTGGCGCGCGACTCGACTGCGAACGGCGCTCCGTCTACGCTCTCGACGCCAACGACATTCTCCCTAGCTAGCTCTCTCCGGGTGCCCTATTTTTAGCATTAGCTAACGCTCCTCCCGTCCAATAAACTTTTTTTTCTTTTTTTTCGGGGTCACCAATTATAGCGCGTAGATCGTGCGCTATAAACTCGGTACGCGACTAAACGGCCAACCAAAAGCGGTGGGTAGAAGACACAAAAGTAAACTAGGGAAAAAGTTTATTGGACGGGAGGAGCGTTAGCTAATGCTAAAAATAGGGCACTCGGAGAGAGCTAGCTAGGGAGAATGTCGTTGGCGTCGAGAGCGTAGACGGAGCGTCGTTCGCAGTCGAGTCGCGCGCCAAAGGCGGAGATGGCGTTCGTGTTTTCAGCAAACGGGAACAACGTTCCAACAGGCAAACCGCCTAGTTCCCTAATACATAAGAAAGTTATAATTTGAATGTATTTTAGAATAGTTTACACAGTCATACGGGGGAATCTCCAGGTCGCTACAGGCTCATTATTCCTTTAAACGGACTCCTTGTAGTCCAATGCCAAACCCGCTGCCTTGCTGACAGGCTTTTGTACCAAAGGCTTTGCTTGAGAACCCTAATTGTTCTCCTGTCTAGGCCTGAGCAACCTGACAGTATCCTGCCCACGCAATACTATGAATCTCACCTCAAACAAATTTCTCATGCTCTGGCCACCGCAGAGGATAATTAACGGTGCCCTATCTGATGCATCGGGCAAGGTGGATAGGGGTTTGGATGCTGCTGCTCAAGGCATCCCGTCTTCTTATTTCCCCTCTTCCGCTTTTTTAACCTTATTCTCCCGTTCCAGTTACACTTTTATCCCCCCTGTTTTCAACCCCCCGATTCCCGGCCCTCCTCCATCTGGCTTCAATAGTCGCTTGTCTTTTAGTTTCAACTCACCTGTGAATGCGGAGCGTCATTCCTGCCCTGTCAACATGCCCATGTCCAAGCAAGTGATCAAGCCCACTTTATCGGCTTCCATTTGGAGCCCTCGATCCTCCTTCAGATTGGCATGTCTCGATGTTCGCACATTGCTTCAGATCGGTCAACGGGCAGCACTTGCCCGAACATTAGGGGTCCTCTCGATCGATATCTGCTGCTTATCGGAGACCAGCACACAAGACTCGAGCTCTGTGCTCACTCTGCGATCCCCTTCAGGTGACACTAGCAGCACTTTCTCATTACGGCTATCCGGTGTCGATGCAGCTTCGAGCACCCGCCAAGCCGGTATTGGTATTGCCCTGAGTCCCCGAGCTGAAGCTACTCTGGTTGATTGGATGCACATCAGTAGCCGGATGTGTGCGGTCCGATTGGCTGGCTCGTTCGAAGCTTCGAAGCCGCACGGGATAACAGGTGTCTATTCGTTATCGCTGTCTATGCACCCACAAACTATAGCAATGATTCGGTAAAAGACGACCTCTATCGCCAACTGACCCAGCTCCTTCGCCACAGAAAAAGCTCGGACACTGTTGTGCTGGCCGCGGATCTGAACGCTCAAGTTGATGAACTACGTTTGGACGGCCAACATGGTGTAAGCTCCCGTAATGATAACGGTGAGCGGTTACCTCATTTGTGTGAAGATGCTCGCTTATTTCTTGCGAGCACTAATTTCAGACACAGCACCCGCCGGAGGGTGACTTGGCGCCCACTAGCCTCGAACCAGCTATGGACACAAATCGATCACATTGCGATAAGTTACCGATAGAGAGGCTGCGTCCAGAACTGTCGCTCGATTTGGAGCACAAGTGTGGACACCGACCATGCACTTGCAAGTGCTGACCTGTGCAGATGCGTTTTGGCGGACGCCCACGACGACCCAGTGAGCGCATTGAGGCCAGTCAACTGGCGAAAACAGCTGTTTTGTATGCCCATCAAAGTACGCTGTCCTGCGAGTTAGATAAACGCTCACTGGATGCAGTTGAAGCTCACTGGTCTCATATTCACCATATTCATAGCAGCAGGAAAATCCCCATTTGGTATTTCTAATCGCCAACATGGACATCGGGTCTCTTCACAGTCTCTGGGACTTCTCGATGCTCGCCGGCACATTCCGGCTCGAAGCGAACACAATGAAACTCGCAAAGAGCTCCGCGCAAAGCTCCATGCTATTCTAAAGAGAGACCGCGAATCCTGGTGGTCTCGTCGTGCTTCAGAGATGGAGATGGCCGCTGCGCTTGGTAACCATCGTAAGTTATCCTGGCTGATACGGGAATCGGGCAGCAGGAGACCTGGTGTTAGTGAAACTATACGTGACAAGAGTGGATTGCCTATCCACAACTTGTCAAAACGCTAGAAGTGTTGGGCTGAGCACTTTGAAAGGCAAGTTAATCGATTCGAATTGTTAGATTACGCGCCGGCCACTGATCGCCCGGCTCCGTGGGCTGTCCATTTGGATCCACCCTCTCGCTCAGAAGTCGAACGTGAGATGGGACTATTGAAGTTGAATAAGGCCGCGGGACCAGATGATCTTCCTTCAGCACTCTTCAAATTCGGGGGACCTGCTCTTGTGGATAATGTACACGAGTTCCTAGTGAAACTGTGGGAGCAGGAAATTGTCCCAACCGACTGGAGTCGCTCCGTCATATTTCCAATTTTCTGGGGAGCCTCACGATCGGAATGCGGTAGTCATAGAGTAATCAGTCTGATCTCCATCGCCTCCAAATTGTTTGCCTCGGTCATCCTTCACAGACTGACTGGCACTCGTGAAAGCCAGATTCGTGAAGAGCAATCCGGGTTTCGTTGGGGTCGTGGCTGCATTGACCACATTTTCACTTACCGTCAGTTGTTGGAGCACCGTCACATACATTGGCGGTCCACCGTAGTCGTGTTCCTCGATATCAAAGGTGCATTCGATTCGGTGGATAGACTTGCACTTTGGGACTGTCTACTCAGGAAAGGTGTACCTGAGAAATATGTGAATATTATCCGAACATTATACGCGCGTAGCTCGGGCAGAGTGAGGGCTTACGGCAAGTTGTCGTCGCCCTTTAATATCTCCAGCGGTGGGAGACAAGGATGCCCGCTGTCACCTTTTCTCTCCAACTTCGCTATTGACGAAGTCATGGAAATCGCGTTCACAGGACACGACTTAGAAGGTGTGGATCCGCTCCGAGGTGAACGACTTCTTGATTTGGAGTATGCTGCCGACATTGCCCTAATCTGTGACAGCCCACAAACGTGCCAAGCGGCACTGGACAGATAGCACTGGCTGTCAACCGCTTCGGGATTTGCTTCGTACCCACGAAGTGCAAAGCGTTCCTCCAAGATTGGCTTAGACCGCCGTCTACGCTGACCTTTGGTGGGGATCAGCTGGAAGTCGTTCAAAAATTCAACTACCTGGGAAGTTGTATCAGCGCTCGTGGAATTGAGGATGAGATCACGAACCGTATGGTAAAAGCTCGGGGCGCTTTTGCAAATCTTCGCCACTTATGGCGGCGGCGCGACATCACTCTTGCCCTGAAGGATAGAGTGTACAATGCAACGTTAAGTTCGACACTACTGTACGGTTGTGAAACCTGGTTTCTTAGATCTACGGACATAAAGAGGATAGTTACGTTCGACCACCGGTGCCATCGCAATTTAGCACACATCTGGTGGGAACACCGCTTGAGTAACGAGCGTGTTCGACGCCTTGTTTACGGCTAAAGTAATGAACTGCTCAGCACCGTTATTTCACGCACCCGGCTCCGATGACTCGGCCACGCATGCCAGCTCACCGACTCCCGCAACGTGCGTTGTTTGCTCACCGGGGGTATGGATGGAAGAAGAGGAGGGGTGGCTAAGCGATGACTTGGTCGAGAGGAATGAAGGCCCTCACTTTTGAGCTGGCCTCGGTTATGGCATCTCGGCTCCCTGGTTGGGGTCCGAAAGACGATGAACACATTTGGCTGGATACAGTTGTTGATATGGCTAAGAGCCGACCTCAGTGGCGTTCATGCTGTGAGTTTCTTTGTCCCACTCCATCCTTCTTAGCCTTCCCCTCCAACCACGATCTCACTATTTAAACCAATATAATTTTGCATAGTAATTTTTTTTGATGCATAGTAGCCGGCTGGTAGCTTACCGGAACGATGCGCATCCGTTATTGGTAGCTCAGCCGGCTTGCACTAGTTGCTTTTTTTCTGCTTTTTTCTATGTATTGCGGCACAATAGCTGAGGTGTTTCCCACCTCTAGCTAACGTTTATGATGATGATGATGATGATTCTCAGCTCAGGCTCCATTCCCTCGGCATCCAGCTGGCCACGAGGTGCTACCCAGTGGGATGTTACATTCAGTGTAGTCTTTTACTAGGTTGTTGTGACAACTTCATCCAACCGCCTACGAGGCATTTGTTTTCGTTGCAGCTCCCAGGTCTATTACGATCTTCGAACACATTGGACACGAGCCCTGGGAATCCCCGAGCGGACGCATATTATACAGTGTTCGTACGATGTCAGCCAAGGGTGGGGATCGCCTGACACCTTTCCTCGCTAAGATACGCGATTTTTTGCTGCAAAGGAAGTACAATAACTCTCTGCGTTATGCGGATGGCTGGTCTAAGCGAACTCAACCTCCTTGCTTTCTACCAGAAGGCGCCAATGCGAACATAGCCAACAACTACTACTATATGCGGGATATGCGGCGGAATGAAGTTAAAAAGCCTGACACAATCTTTGAAGCTGGTCCGAAGCTGTTAACAGAGTCTGCCAAGTACGCTTTTTACACTTTCATTGCTATATTCTCCACTGTCAGTCTTTTTCGATATCACAGCGGATACATGCGATCTCGCATAGCACGAGTGGCCGTTGGAATGCCATGGGTAATCTATTTTTCCCGTGACCGTCACAGCGAGACAAATTTTGCATGATTTTCGGTCAGAAAAAGATCTTTCGCGTATCGTTAACGTATACCGTGAGTGCATTTTTTTCCTCATCGCAAATGACGCTCGTGTTCAGTAGGAATCGAGTCCTAAAGCCGGTGGCCGAAAGGATTGCGCGCATGGCTTACAATCCTTGGGTCATCGGTTCAAACCCGCATAGGGGCGGGCGTCTTCGCGGTCTATTCGGCCCACCTGTGACCGGTGGTGATCGCGTGGCGGCGAAGCGTCGGCACAGTGTACCGGCTCACTGCTGTGAACTTTCTTTTACTTTTGGAATCCCAGGGCGCCATAAAGTATAATTGAAGGCTTATGATTACACTCCAAATATTCTTGAGTTACCCAAACGTAGCCAAAATGTGTCTCATTGTGACTGTCAGCAGAGCATAAATTAGTCACTCACTGCTCGCCTATCGGTCACTCGTGTTGGGTGGATGTACGATTTTACTTAAGAGAAACCGTTCATAAGTTGGAATCGGTGCGGTTAACGATGCCTCTTATTTATTTAATGTTAGAATATGACATGTTTATCGTTTCTTGCTTTTATGTTTCCGCGACTGACCGAAGCGGGCACAAATGCGACAGCTAACTATCCCCTTTTACCAAAAGGCACATGCAACCGGAATTTACTGCCCGTACGGGACGCAACCAATATCACGTTAGTTACATCCCATCCACCTTCATACTTCTAGGGCTCATATTTCTATTCTTCCCCATGAATCCAAACTGGTTAACTTTCAACGTGTAGGCCATAAGTGCTGGCGAATGCAGGATCGCCACTGACTGATCGATCGCACCATGTCCGATTGTGTCTCCAACCACTGATGAGCGAGTGATCCGCTCAGCACCATTATATAACATACCAGGCTCCGATGGCTGGGCCACGTGTTGCGCATGCCAGCACACGGATTTCCGCGACGTGCATTGTTTGCGCACCTGGTGTGTGGATGGAAGAGAAAGAGGAGAGGCCAAGCAATGACTTGTTCAATAGGAATGAAAACTCTCACTTCGAAGTAGGTGTCCGTTGTTGCCTTCCGATTGCCGGGCTTGGGTCCGAAGGACCATGAATATGCTTGGTTGGACACATTTGCTGACATGGCTAAGAGCTGGCTCCAATGGCGTTTGTGCTATAGGTTCCTTTGTCCATTCCCTTCTTCTTCTTCTTCTTCTCCTCCAGATTTCCCCTTCAATCTCATAGCAACTTATGATATTTAACATTATCTTATTTACTTTTTTCGCTTTTTTGGTGTTATTTTTAGTATTTTATTTTTATGTATTGCGGCACAGCGGACGCTTGTTTCTCACGCTCAGCTAACATGTATTGATGATGATGATGACCATCCCGATTTCTCCACCCAAGAAGACAACACGCATCAGCCCAACAAGCTCATTCGGTCATCCTCTTCATACCTTTACGCCACGTTATCGACTGGCCGCCTCACGGTTCGCTCAACCTCTTGAAGCGACAGCATATAAATAACCGCTGTGTCAGGCGCTGCTCGCGGAGTTCCATAGCCTAGTGATCGCGGTGATAGCCGCCAACCACTGTGCCGAGTTCTACTTCCTGATCAGGCTATCTCTGCCTGTTGGGTCCCAACAAGGACGAAACGCATTGTGGGATGCAGCAGTCATCGTCATCATTACACATTAGCCGAAGGTTAGAAACATACTTCAACTATTGTGCCGCAATACATAAAGATTGTTGTAACGCTTCTTCTTTCACTGTTATAACGCTTCTTTCTTAACCTCTACTCTATGCCACTGACGACTGCGCTACTGCTGCTAGCTGCCCCTTTGTGACTGCGACTGTCTGACTGCTCAGTCACGCGCCCAGCCCACCAACAGAATGCAGAAGACCAAGGTTCGGTAGACAGAGAGGCTTATTGTATGAGAGCACGGTCCAATAAATAGGTTGTGAGCAACTACTTAAACAACAATACTGGAGATGCTAATTGGCGTTAATTAACACAACTCAAATGGTTCAAGTTCGTGATCCAACTTGCCTCTGATTCCGCATCAATTCGCATTTTGATCTATAGTCGAGTTCGATCTCTAATTGCAGATTGATGCACTTTTACGGCACTGCTCTCGGCTTGATTGCTAGCTGTAAGCTCTCTCCGTAACAAAGATAAAACACAAAAAAGCAAGATACTGAACATTCTAGAATGCAACCCTTTAGAGGGTTGCCTATTCCGGGAGCCCAGAGAGCGATTCCAGAAGACAGATCGAGTTGCAGGGAAACTTTTATTGGTTCAGCAAAAGATTCCCTGTTAGCTAGCTATAAACGAACGACACCGTGGACGCTCTAGCTAGGGAAACGGAGCAGACACAGCACACAGAGCAGTCGCGCGTTGCAACCGAAGCGAGCGCCAAGCAAAAAATGGCGATGAGCAAGTAAAGCATTCGAACTCAGCAAGCAGTTCAACAAACCACACCGGTTGCCTAAGTGTACAATTATAGAATTTTGGTTAGAATTTTACACAAGCAAACCGGGGAATCTCCAGACTGCTACATAGCCCTCTCCCAGAAGGGACTGTGTAAGCAGTCCTTCGATCTACGTGAGGACTGTCCGTCGCGGGCCAGCCTTCTGCGAGACCAGGTTGTGAAACCCGATGCAGCTGCTGGGGGAGAACCATGCAATCGGACCCTAGCGGGCTCCCACCCGTGTCCTCCCTACGGTGTCGAAACGGTAAAAAAACTGTTTGTAGGGGGGAACAGTTAGTAAAGTTCACGTGTGCGGTTGAACAGGAAGTTCGTTCCACTTGCAGTTGACGTGCGGGGATCCAGCGAAAGTGAAACCGAGGTGCAACCAACCGACGGTGTATATGGAAAGCAAAACGAAAAAGCAGCGTAAGTGCATAGCCATACACAAAAGAGTGCAAAGCGGAAAACGTGCAAAGCTGTTTTTTGGTTTTCAATAGGTTTTGCTCTTTTTTGGTAATTTCAAAACGTTTTGATCTTTTTTTGTGGGTTTTCAAAAACGTTTAGTAAGAGCAGAAAATTTTAAAGGCACGTTCTACGTAAAATAGTAAGTGCGAACGAAATCTGAAAAATGAACTGAGGGTTTGAGTTTCCTACCGCGGCGATTGATAGCAGGGCGAGTAGGAGTGCTGTCGGTTGGGGTTGTCGGTTCTGCTGAAGCGGACTGACTCGTCTGAGGTTGCGGTGCGTGCTCTGATGGAGCAGGCTGTGAAGGTGCTTGTTGCACCGATGAGTCAGACTTGTCGAGGAAAGCTGGCTTGAGTCGATCAATGTTGCTCGTCTCAGTGGTGTTGCGTCGTAGCTTGCCTATGTCTGGCTCAGCTTGTTGGGCAGCAGCCATAGCGGCTAGATCAATGTTGGTGCCAGGCGATAAGCTGATCTGATGAATGCGTGAAAGCGCATCCACAACGGGATTGAGAGCACCTGAGACATGACGTACGTCTGTCGTAAACTGAGAAACGTAGTCTAGGTGTCTAGTTTCCCGCGGCGAGTACTTGTCCGTTGCGCCATTGATTGCGTAGATCAATGGCTTGTGGTCGGTGAAGACGGTGAAATGTCGACCTTCGAGGTAGTGACGGAAATGTCGGATACCTAGGTAGATAGCTAACAGTTCCCTACCGAAGGTGCTGTAACGCGATTCGGCAGGTTGTAAACGTTTCGAGAAGAAACCTAGAGGTATCCATCGATGGTCGATGAGTTGTTGAAGAACTGCACCGACGGCAGTGTCTGATGCGTCAGTTGTCAGAGAGAGTGATGCAGACGTGTCTGGATGGGCGAGAAGCGCTATGTTGGAGATAGCGTCTTTAAGCTTCTCGAAAGACAATTTAGCGTCGTCTGTAAAGTGAAAAGACCGTTGTTTACCGCGGAGCAAGTCAGTCATTGGTTGAACAATGCTCGCGCAGTTAGGTATAAAGCGTCTGTAATAGTTGACCAGGCCAAGAAATCGGCGTAACTGCTTGAAGGAACTGGGAGCAGGATAGTCCTTCAGTGCCTGGATTTTGTCTGGCAGGGCTTCGATACCAGAGGTAGATATGCGGTGGCCAAGAAAGTCGATGGAACTTTGGCCAAGCTCGCATTTATCGGGGTTGACGGTAACCCCATGCTGCGTCAAGCGTTGGAAGAGTGCGTCGAGGTGACGAAGATGTTCGTCATTAGAAGAGCTGGCGATAAGAATGTCATCTAGATAAGGATAAACGCCTTCGAGTCCTCGCGTTACCTCATGAATGAAACGCTGAAAAGTTTGGGCAGCGTTGCTGAGGCCGAAAGGCATTCTGAGGTACTCGAATAGGCCGAATGGCGTGATGACTGCTGTTTTAGCAATGTCGTCTGGCGCCACAGGTATCTGATGGTAGGCGCGAACTAAGTCGACTTTGCTGAAGATAGACTTGCCAGCTAGAGCTGAGGTCAAGTCGTGCATGTGCGGAATAGGGTATTTATCCGGGACGGTAACTTTGTTAAGTGCCCTGTAGTCACCACAGGGGCGCCAGTCACCGGATTTCTTAGGTACCATGTGTAATGGTGATGCCCATGGACTTTTGGACGGGCGGATGATTCCCAGTTCGAGCATTTGCTCGAATTCCGCCTTAGCAGCTTTGAGCTTGTCCGGGGCTAGTCGGCGAGGGCGGGCCGAAACAGGTGGGCCCTTAGTGCAGATGTGATGCGTGACGTTTGACGTCACAGGAGGCAACTCGTTCAGGACGCGAACGAGTTTAGGGTGCTTGGTGAAAAGTTCTAGAAAAGGCTGTGAAGCTTGGGGTAGGACACGAATGGGAGTGATAGCAGCCACGTTGGCGCTGGTCCCGATAATACTGAGCTGTGTCCTGGAGTCGATAAGCTTCTTCCTTTTGGCGTCGACGATGAGGTCGAAGCGTTGAAGAAAGTCTATGCCTATGATGGCGAAAGGCACAGCAGCGATTATGAAAGGCCAGCGAAAAGTTCGCCGGAGGCCTAAGTTGAGCGTTAGCAGCTTTTCGCCGAAAGTTGCGATTGGTGTGCCATTGGCGGCACGCAGCTTGGTCGGCGATGGTGAGACGACCTCATCTGAGCTACGGGG